CCCTACCCCCGGGGGTTATGATTTGAACAAAGTTGAATCTACACAACCTGAACATGCTTCCATATAAATATGATGAATTATGGCTTTGTCATTCTTGAGACGAAGATTTTTAAAGAATTTTCCTATATATTTCTATGTAAAACTTTGGTCGGCCATTTTGGCCCCGCCCTACCCCCGGGGGTCATGATTTGAACAAACTTGAATCTACACTACCTGAACATGCTTCCATATAAATATGATGAATCATGGCTTTGTCATTCTTGAGAAGAAGATTTTTAAAGAATTTTCCTATATATTTCTATGTAAAACTTTGGTCGGCCATTTTGGCCCCGCCCTACCCCCGGGGGTTATGATTTGAACAAACTTGAATCTACACAACCTGAACATGCTTCCATATAAATATGATGAATTATGGCTTTGTCATTCTTGAGAAGAAGATTTTTAAAGAATTTTCCTATATATTTCTATGTAAAACTTTGGTCGGCCATTTTGGATCCACCCTGCCCCCGGGGGGTCATGATTTGAACAAACTTGAATCAATACTTCCTGAGCATGCTTCCATATAAATATGATGAATTATGGCTTTGTCATTCTAGAGAAGAAGATTTTAAAAGAATTTTCCTATATATTTCTATGTAAAACTTTGGTCGGCCATTGTGGCCCCGCCCTACCCCCGGGGGTCATGATTTGAACAAACTTGAATCTACACTACCTGAGGATGTTTCCCCATAAGTTTCATCTTTCCTGGCACAGTGGTTCTTGAGAAGAAGATTTTTAAAACATGCCATCAAATTTTCATTAATTCCCAATTATCTCCCCTTGAATGAGGGCTTGGCCCTTCATTTGAACAAACTTGAATCCCCTTCACCCAAGGATGCTTTGTGGCAAGTTTGGTTGAAATTGGCCCAGCGGTTCTTGAGAAGAAGTCGAAAATGTGAAAAGTTTACGGACAGACAGACGGACAGACAGACGGACAGACAGACAGACGGACAGACGGACGCCGGACAAAATGTGATCAGAAAAGCTCACTTGAGCCTTCGGCTCGGGTGAGCTAAAAACGAAATTAATATATAAAGATAAACGAAATTATTAAATAAAGAAAAACGAACTGATTTATTTAATAATTTCGTTTTTCTTTATTTAATAATTTCGTTTTTCTTTATATATTAATTTTGTTTTTTTTTTTTTTTTAATAATTTCGTTTCCGTTTATATAATAATTTCGTTTTTCTTTATATATATTAATTTCGTTTCTCTTTATATATTAATTTTGTTTTTCTTTATTTATTTTTGGTTTGCACTATTGGGCTTCCGTACAGATCTGTAGCTATCCGGAAAAATATATATTGATCATCCGGTCTATCAATATATATTTTTCCGGATAGCTACAGATCTGCAGCTATCATTGAGAGTGATGTCTCTTGGCGGTGGAAATAAATAAAGCGTTTACAGAGGTAAACAAAAGCACATGTGTTTTTAAACGGAAAGAATCAACAATAATGCAAGAAAGAGAAGCAATGATAGCTTTGTATACATTGTGTAAACTAAAGGTCAGACAGTCAACAGGTCGTCATTTATCATAGTTATGCTGGGAAGGGCAAAGATGCGACATGTGCTGAAATTTGCGAAAGCTAGGCTGGTAACCGAATAAGAACAGTTCTATAGGTCATGTGAAGGAGGCACCGTTTAAGAATAAGTCACATTATCCAACGATGGGGTTTACGATGAGAAACCGATGCGTTTTTTGATGAAAATGGCGTGGTTGCCGGCCGGGCACCACTAGTGATCGGACGGTGACTGAGGCCATTTTGCGAATCGGTGGGGTCATCGGTAGGAAATAATTCGTAGTTAAAATTCAGCGATGTCTCCAACGATGCCTTACATCGCTCCTCATCGGCAACCCACCATTAACAGATCTTTCAAGGATCGGCCGATGTATGCCAGAGCATCGTCCAATATCCCTTGAATCTGAGGTCATCGGTTAGTTAAGTGGTGTTCAACAGATAACGACCGATCATCGGTCGATGTTCGACCAAACACTGGCCCGTAGTCGACCGATTTACGAACAATGTTCACCAATGTATGAGCGATGTAACATACATCGGCCGATTATCCTGGAACATCGTTTTATGATTAGCAATGCATCACTGGGCCTTTGTAAGTCCGGCCGGGAACCACGCCATTTTTCTCATAAAACGCATTGGTTGTCCGTCGTATACCCATCGCTGGATTTTGTGACTGATACTTTAAGGACTACTTGGCCGGTGTGGACCGATGTTGGGACATCGCTAACACCACGGATTACCACCGATTACCACCGGTCTACGGCTACCGGCCGGGAAATGTGACCTAGGCATTAGTAACTACGAATAAAAGTTATTATAAATCCATACCATACAAATATATTTATGACAATTTGTTTCCAATAACGTAAATTACATGATAGAAACTCTTGATCATTGTGAATGATATTTAGGTGTTAAGGGAAGTAACTCATATAAGCTAACAGAACTGGAATTTCTGTGTCTTGTTTCTATATTTTGCATTTTCAGCCAAAATATATACATGTCTTCGGATATAAGGATACAACAATGTATTTTATTCAAAACGTCTATGAAATAAATGGGTTTAATTTAGGGAAATCGTATAATTAAAAATTATGTAGGTCCTTTTTATCTACATTTTACATAGGAAATGCATTGACTCTGATTAGGAATTGTGAAAGCATTGATTCGACAAAATCTAAAAAGAAAGGCTGGCTTGATGGGTTAAATGAACTAGAATTAAACATGTTTGATACCATTAAACATGTTCAAAAATTCTTGAAATTTTCTATACAAAAACCAGAATCATTGCCAATGTCCTTAAATGTGATGAAAAATTTTCATTCTCATTGAGCTCTTTTACCTAGACTTAGTGCTACATGTATGCATATATGTATAGATGTTTTTTTATTATTAATATTTTAGTATATATACTTTAAAAGTTCCACTTTCTTTTACTTAGAAAACATAGAATTGCCGCTCAGGTAAATTCCCGGAAATGAAAAAAAAAAACTATGTCTGATATGAAAACAAAAAATTTTGAAAATGAAATAAAAAAAAAATGTCGAAAATGCTATGCATATTTCCGGAAATGAAATGCAGCGAAGTGGATATTTTGATAAGCAATGGTGCCTCTTTCAAAATTATGAATTTCATGGCCTCTGGTTTAAAACATGAAGCAAATTCAATTGTTGGAAAGTTGTTGCATGCATGATGCTCATGTGACCTATAAGGCCCATGGGCCTCTTGTTTAATTTTCAGCAGTCTTTTTTTTTAAAGGTACATGTATTCTGTGGTCGACCTGAATTCCTCTTCCCTTCTGGTATGTTCGAATCATTATTTCCAACTAAGAAGGACCTCGATAGACTTTTTAAAATATATATCATGTATATACTACCTATATAAAGTTAAAGTGATATATGGTGTATTTTCGTTAAGTTAATTAGACTAACTAAAATTAGAAAGATTTTTCTATTTGTTATGCGCTGCATTTCATTTCCGGAAATATGCATAGCATTTCCGACATTATTTTATTTCATTTCCGCCATTTTTTTTTTTTCATTTCCGACATAATTTTATTTTCATTTCCGGAATTTACCTGTGCGGCAATTCAATGTTTTCTAAGTAAAAGAAATTAGAATTTAAAGTGTTTATACCAAAATATAATAAAAAAAAAAAAACATCCATACATATATGCATACATGTAGCACTAAGTCGAAGTAAAAGCGTTCAATGAGCATGAAACTTTCTCACCGCATTTAGTGTGCACTAAATTAAATGTCAGTGACAGCACCATACTTATGTCCAAGTCACTGATGGATTTACAAAATTGGATTTCATGAATTTATTTAGGATTTATTCCTTTCGATTTGTCATAAGTTAAGTTATCAAATCTGTTACTATAAGTACTACATGTACATATGTATTTGAAAAATGTCGGAAATGAAAACAAAATAATGTCGTAAATGAAAACTAAAAAATGTCGGAAATGAAAATTTGATAATTACCTAAAATTCCGGAAATGAAATGCAGCCTTGTAAATTTTGTTATGTTAATTTATATAAAGATAGGACTTTCCTGTAAATAACGCAATTTAAATCAGTCCCGTTTAATAGATATTAGAGATTTAAAACAATAAACTAATTATTTCCGACTCGGATAAAAATATCAGATACGGTTTAAAATCAATTTAACCTATAGAAACTTGGGGTTATTATACCCCCCGCTTGAAAAGCGGGAGGGGTATATAGTGATCGGGATTTCCGTCCGTCCGTCCGTCTGTTACGCTTCTTCTCTTAGGAGGTGCACAATGGCAATATGTCATAAAGATTCTGTGAAAGTTTAATTAAAATTCAACCAGTAGTATAATAGGAGTTGCGGATAAGAGATGGGTAACCCAAAGCGTAACAGACGGATCGACGGACGGAAATACCGATTACTATATACTTTTCAAGCGGGGGTATAAAAAGCGTGGTTTAAGTTCATTATACCCCCCGCTTGAAAAGTGGGAGGATATATAGTAATCGGTATTTCCGTCCGTCCGTCTGTTACGCTTTGGGGTACCCATCTCTTATCCGCAACTTCTCTCAAACCACTGAAGGAAATTTGATGAAACTTTCACAGAATCTTTATTACATATTGCCATTGTGCACCTCCTATTTTACTCTTTGATCTGATGTATATTTTGGATTTTCCAGAGGAAAACATTGATACTGCTTTTATATTCATATGGGAGGCGGGGGGTATTATTTAGTGAGCTCATTGCTAACAGTACCTCTAGTTTATCTTCATTTCTCAATATAAAAATTAATATGAAATCATTAATCAGTGATTTGTGGGATGGATAAACTAAACATATTGAGAAATTTAAATAGCAATCATCAGACAAAAACACACTGATTACAAAGAGTGCCCTCTGCACATGCTCACTAAACTGATAGGTAACCAGGAAGTATAAACATCAAACCGAAAGTACTTCCCAGTCAGGTGAATATTAGGGTGGGAAGATAAAATGTTTATTCTTTCCCAATAGTTAGTCTTGAAAGGTTGGAACTAAACAGGTAATGCAATATTGTAACAGATTTTCTAAACAGTTTTATCATTACAGTTTACAAATCAATTAAGTTAAAACACGTACCCCTTTAGTCAAGGTTATCATTGTAATTAAACCTTTCAAAGTCAGATTTGTTTCTTATGTAAATCTATACAGTATTTAGAAACTACTCTAACATTTCAAATGTTCTACAATGTAGGCGTATAAAAATTGAAATAATTGTTTAGCCGTTTAATACATATACTACACGTGACTTTCATTACATTTTATTAAGAACTGTTTTTAAAATTACTATTTCAGTTCCAATCCTTTAAGCAAGGCAATGGCCACTCCTACTTCCTGGGCTCAGGAGGTCATAACCTGTGACCTTTGTCCTAAGCCTACTCAGCAGTTCTGTAACAACTGTCAGATCAGTTTATGTGTGGACTGTGTCAGTAAACATGTGGACAAATTCAAATCCCAAACACATGACATTGTTCATTTCACCAACAGAAAGATCCAGCCAGTATTTCCTGATTGTAAGGTTCACCCCAACCAGAGATGTGAGGCCCACTGCCAACAGTGTCATGTCCATGTTTGTCTGAAATGCATTCTCAGTTCCCATAAAAGTCACAGTATTGTGGAGATGCAAGAGATTTTCAATGAAAAGAAAAATTACATTGAAAAAGAAAACCAAGAAATTGAATTCATCATTATTCCCAAGTACAAAAAGAAAATGGACAATATAGCAGGCAAAATCTCCATATCAACAGCAAAGTTTGATGAACTGGAAAAAGAAGCAGAAAAACACAGAAAACTTTGGCATCAAGAAGTAGATAACATCTTCAACAAAGTTAGCTCCATGATCGAGTCCACAAAGGAAAACTTTATCACTTCTCTAAAATCTCATCAATCAAAGTTTAAAAATCTTATTCCAGATATGATGCAAACTGTTGAACAAAACAAAGAAATCTTAAAGACCAACAGAGTGTCTGATGTCAACAACTACAAATCTAAATTGACAGAATACAGAGACATACCAGCTGATATTGATGTCAAAATTCCTTCAATGAATACAAGTACAGCCCAAGGGAGAGAACTAAACATAGAATTAGGAGAATACAAGGCTAAATTGACACAGACAGCATTATCCAGTCTGACAGATGAAGTCTCCTATTTGTCTATGAAGGAGTTATTAGACAAAGCCAGAGTGATAGCCACCATTCCTTCTGGAGTTAAACCATTATTCCAAGTGGCCTGTGTAGGAACAGATGAGGTCTGGGCTGTTGGTATTGACGGAGTTATAAGATGTGTTAACATACATGGGTCTCTACATGAATCTGTTACCACCACAAGTCATTACAGTCCAAATGACATCTGTGTGACCAAACAGGGAGAACTTATTTACATTGATTCTGACAGTAAAACAGTGAACATTGTTAGAAGAAGAAGGTCAAAGGTACTGATCACTCCACCACGTGGCTGGGCACCAGAAAGACTGTGCTGTACAAGGGCTGGAGACATACTGGTCAATGTGTCTAGTGAATATCAAAACAAAATACTTCGTTATCAGGGGAAAATACTGAAACAAGAAATTTATATCGATGAACATAGAAATCTAATCTTTAAAGAAGGAAATAGTGTATTAAATCTGGCAGAGAACAACAATGGAGACATCTGTGTCTCTGATTGTAATGCTGACATTGTGGTTGTGATGGACAAGACAGGAAGAGTTAGATTCCGATATGATGGTACACCAGCAAGGAGAAAGAAGAAATTTGATCCTAGAAAAATAGTGACAGACTCTATGAGTCAGATCATTGTGATCGATTATAACAATGCCTGTCTACATATCCTTGATCAGGATGGACAGTTACTGAGATGTCTTGACAAGTGTTGTTTAGATAAACCCATTGGATTGAGTGTGGACAGTGAGGGAAGGCTGTGGGTAGGATTATTTGGTTCAGGAGAAATTAAAGTGATTCAGTACATGGAATAAACATAGTCTGTTTGTAAAAAGATAATTTTAACAAGATAATAAAAAAAATTTGTAAATGTTTTATGAAATTTTATTGTAAACACATTATTCTGCATAATAATGAAACAACTTGTTTCCAGGTTATTATATGACAGGGCCATTTGCAAGTATGTTTTGAACGAAGTATATGTAATACATTGTATATGCTGGTATCCGACTAAATTTAAGTGTTGCCAGTTTGAGACTTAATCCAAATGTTGCCAGCTTCAGACTTTAAACCAAGTACTGCCAGCTTTAGACTTAATCCAAGTGTTGCCTAAACCAATCCAAGATATTCATACAGGAATCGGCTGCAGCTTCTACTGATGACAGTTGTCTTTGCAGCCAATTAACCTACAGAAAGATAGAGTTTTAAGTACAAATGAATGGATTTTTTTCTTTAAAGGTAGAAATACAATTTTCAAAATATTTTTCTTTATTAACATGAATAAAATGCACTTCTTTGTACAAATTTCTTTTCATGTTTGTTCAATCATGATGCAGTGATACACAAAAAATACACTTATAGTTCCATTTAGATATAGAATGTTGAGATTAGGAAAAGGGCAAAATGGAAATGAAAATAAAGGTTGGATATCACGGTGAAAGGTAAGATCAGACAAGTTTGACTGTATGTTGGGTGTTAGATCAGTTTGTGTCTGTATGTGATTGACTTAATTTCTTAAAAATATGCAGCTTTGGTGAAAACTTCTGAGTGACATATGATAGGGCGTTCATATTTGACGTATTATGCCATAAATAATGACATCTCAACCGCAAATCAAAGACACCGAAAGCGGGGAACCACATTTCTTTGAATTTTCTTATGATTTTCAATATTTCAACATCTTTTCCTTTTAAGAATGAGAGAATTTCTAATTTATAAACATAGCATCAAATTAAGAAATTAAGTCCGCGATTTCTTGAATGTTGCAGGATAACCTCCGTGGAGGAGAAATGTTGATAAAATTAGCCGAGATATTTTATATTTCTAACAACATTTCGAGACCGAGGAACAGTCCCGCTTAGCTATGTTCATTCATCGGCTACTTTATGCAATATGCAGTTTTAAGACTGTGAAAGACAGCACATCAATGTGGTCTAGATAAGATTAAGTATTTCATTCTAGAGTTAAATATTCATTTCAACTGTACAGGTTCAAAAAGTGTTTCTGGTCTGATAATTTTTGATGTTCGTGATTTATTGGAGAATAATGTTTGCAACATTTCTTTGATCTGGGCAATAATCGTAGTAGAATACCCAGTATATACAAAGAGAAATGACTCTGTTTGATAATTGCCATTTAAATTTTTCAAAAGCTCTATTCATTCACAAATCACTAATTACAATGAGAGTACATACTCAATAAACTGATAGGTAACCAGGAAGTATAAATGTCTGAGCAAAACTAGTTTTCAGTCAAGTGAATAGTAGGGTGGGGAGATAAACTGTTTATACTTTCATAACAGTAACAAGTCGTTTTGAAAGGTTGGAACTACAAACTTAAGGTAATTCAACAGATTTTCAACATATTTTATCTTTATAAAAAGATAAAAAATAATCTGTAAGTCAACTTAATAATTGTTATCCCTTTCAAAATTATAGAAATTGTTTCTTATGGAAATCTATACAGTATAGATCGAAACAATTCTAAAATTTCAAATGTTCTACAAAGCGGTTTAAAAAGTTGAAGTTGTTGATGTTTAAAATGGTTGTTTCATATATTTACATCTACTAAATGTGACTTTTATCCGGAACTATTTTCAAAAAAGCTTTTTCAGTTCCGATCCGTTGCAAGAAAATGGCCACTCCCTCTTCCTCAGGAGGTCATAACCTGTGACCTTTGTGTTAAGCCTACTCAGCAGTTCTTTAACAACTGTCAAGTACGTTTATGTGTGGACTGTGTCAAAAAACATGGGTCAAATTCAAATCTCAAATACACGACATTTCACCAACAGGAAGATGCAGCCAGTGCTTTCTGAGAGTAAAGTCCACTCCAACCAGAGATGTGAGGCCCACTGCCAGCAGTGTCACGTCCAAGTCTGTCTGAAATGCATTCTCAGTTCCTATAGTGGACACAATATTGTGGAAATACAAGAGATTTTCAATGAAAAGAAAAGGGAAATTGTAAAAGAAAACCAAGAAACTGAATCCAACATTATTCCCAAGTACAGAAAGAAAATGGGCAGTATAGCGAGGAAAATATCAACATCAATAGCAAGGTTTAATGAACTGGAAAAAGACGTAGAAAAAAAGAAAAGAAAATTGTGGCATCAAGAAGTAGATAACATCTTTAACAAAGTTAGCTCCTTGATGAAGTCCACAAGAGAAAACTCTCTCTCTCTCCTCTCTACAATCGTACCAATTCAAGCTCAAAAATCTTAATCCAGATATGATGCAAACAACTGAACAAAACAAACAAAGTGTCTGATGTCAACAACTACAAATCCAAACTGAGAGTACCTGCTGATATTGATGTCAAAATTCCTTCACTAATTACAAATACAGTCCAAGGTAGAGAACTCGGCATAGCGTTAGGAGAATACAAGGCTACATTAACACAGACGGTATAATTCAGTCTAACAGATGAAGTCTCCCGTTTGTCTATGAGAGAATTATTGGACAAAGCCAGAGTGATAGCCACCATTCATACTGGAGTTGAACCTTTATGGCATGTGGTTTGTGTAGGAACAGATGAAGCTTGGGTTTATAGTGATGACAAAGTTATAAGGCGTGTTGACATACGTGGATCTGTACAGGAATCTGTTACCAGCACATCCTGTTGACATACTATCCTGGTGACATCTCTGTGACCAGACAAGGCTAACTGATTTACACGGATAATTTCAATCATACTGTGAACATTGTCAGAAGAGGAAGGTCAGAGATACTGATCACCCAACCACAGGGCGGGACACCAAATGGACTGTGCTGTACAAGGTCAGGGTACATACTGGAGAGAATTAGAGAAAATGAAGCTAAAAGAATAAAACGTAATTATCTTCCAACTTCATGGCCTATAAGAACTACTCCTATACATGTACTGGCGATAGATATTTAGACTTAAAAAAGTTCACATTGTGTTGCATGTTTTTAAAAAGTACATATTTTCTGTTTTGTCTTTCATTAATTAGAATACTAAGTAAATACATGTATGGAAGTTTGCATACTGATACATCACTTAACTGCTTATTAATAAGTATATAATATTATTTGGTGCCCCTAAAGCCAATAAAAATGTGTATCTGAATGCAAAACATAGATCAAATTAAACATCTTTAAAAAAGTGAATGGTACAAAGGTATTAATTTTCAAGCAGAATTTCAGAGAAGCAAGAATAAATTTTTAAAAAAAAATATATGTCAGATACCGTATACATGTATTTGATCTATGTGTCAATTTTTTTCTTTAAAAGGACGAACTATACAACGTATACCTACCTGTGTTTTAATTTCAAACTTTCAGTGTAAAAATTGAAATTGATATTAAGTAAATACTCTGCAGTGTTTTTATTGTGCAATACAAATCTTCTTTAAACAGAAAACGAAGCCCAGATTTTTATGAAATACGTAGTAATTCATCAGATTATACATACTAGTCAATAAAATGTGCTCAAGAGATCTTGAGGAGAAGATTTTGATAATGTAATCTAGCTTTTCTCAGTTAACCATTTTGGAGAAATGATGTGTGATTTTTTGGAGGACTTTGCTTTAGCATACCTAAGGCATTTCTCTTTAATATTAAAAATGTGCTATCATAGTGATATGATGTAATGATATGAACTGTTTTCCTTTCTAGTTTTTCAAGAATAAACGGCACATTCGTTTCCCATCATTTATTTCCATCAACATTGGTATTGGAAAAGAGAACAAGGGAAAAGTGGGAAAAGATTGACTGCAACAAACAAAATAAACAGAACTTACAATGTTGTACGTTATACAAATGTGACTGAAATGACGAATGACAATATTCAACTGACTGATATACTGAGTACAGAATTACAAATACTTTGTCATAAACTAGTACTGCATAATAGTATTAAATGGTATAAGTGAATAAAACTTTATAAATGACGTTAACTTATAACCTGTGAGAATGCTCATTTACATCATTATGCTCAAACTGAAGATTAACCTTATTATTTACTCCAAAAATACAGTATACAAAAAGATATGAAGTTAAAACTGCATTTAGACAATCATAAAAGAGGTAATTACCGTGATTATTTTCCAACTCGCCCAAAAGGTATGAGAATAAACAGCTCAAAATCAAAACAGCTTTTGGTAAACATCAAAAATCGTGCAAACATGGCGGGTTAACACGTCAGAATCATGAAAATTTCTATTCTGATAAAATTGGAAAATATCAATAAATGAATCCGGATAAATTTGGATAATACCACAAAATCAATCTTACATATATCTTAATTTAACATAAAAAAGAGAATTCCAAACAACTGTGACGGTTTTGGTTTTTTACAGTACATTTAATTTGTCATACACAGAATATTTAGTGCATTTAAATACCTTTTAACATTTTCCGATAGGCAAAGCTGATGTTAAAAGTCCTGTATTTGTAACTTTGTAACTTTATTTGTTTACACATGTGCTCAGGTTAAATTTACCTCCATTTTGGCTGTCGTTCCAAACTTATTTTGTATCCTGACTTTTCATTGGTTGACAGATAGTACTTGAACATATCAGAAATCATTTTAGATATTCACATTACTATTTCAAAGCTACTTAGTTAGAATGATTTTTATTGGTCAGAGTTTATATATAAACGGTAACAGCGGCATTTTCAAGTCACTCTAGGCTAAAGAACCCACAGGTTCAAGCTTACTCTTCTTAGCTCTTAGGGTTTAATCCCGGACTGCTCGTGCAGTCTTATTTTTTTTGTTTAGGACACTGTCTAAATTCTGTAAAATGTAATAAGGTCCTTAGCTCTAGAGTCACATTGGTTCAAGGATGAATTAGATATCC